GGCGGGGTAACCAATCAGCTTCCAGACCCTGGCGATGGGGCGCATGACCATATACCAGACTCCGCTGGCACACTTTCCAGCAGGTTAAAAGACTTTGGCCTGAAAAGTGCAAAAGAGTCCTTAGATACTGAGGGGAAACCATTTTGGACTTATCCTGCACCCACACAGACTTTCAGGATAAAGGCAAAATGAAGGTCTGGAGGCCACTCCTAACGGGGGGGGGGGGGCTGTGTGGATCTGTGCCATTACTTTGGTCACCTGCTGGTGGCACTGTGGCTCCCAGATTCCAAGCAGGCGGTCGCGGTAGTAACCAGCGGGTGTCTCCAAGCAGCTGGACTGTTCTAGTAATTAGTCAGCATAATTAGTCTAGTATTCTTCCTGCAAGCCACGTCCCTGCTTGAGCCTGAACCTTGTTCCTGTACCTGACCCCGTGACCTTCTCCCTTTATCCTGTTTCCGGCTCCTTGTACCTGGCTCCTTGCTTCCCTTGTCTTTTGTCCCTATCCTGACTTTATTCTGTGTCTCCTCCATTTTGTATGTAGTTAGTTAGGTTGTTATTTGGGGTTTGCAAAATCATGTTTATTTTGTCACTTGCATTGTTTATGGTTTACTGGTGTTGTGTTGGAAGTATGTTGTTGTCTCAAAAAACTTATTTTAATCTTATTCAGTTTGGTTCCTGATTCCTTAAGGTGCAGCTAACTGATCTAATTTTCCTTTCTGGATGCCAGCATCCCTGACACTTCCACATCACTGTGGAGGAATTTTGGCCCACTCTTCTTTGCAGAATTGTTTTAATTCAGCCACATTGGAGGGTTTTCAAGTATGAATGGCCTGTTTAGGGTCATGCCACTGCATTTCAATTGGATTAAGTCCGGACTTTGACTAGGCCACTCCAAAACCTTAATGTTTTTTTTTTCTAGCTCTTCAGAGGCGGACTTGCTGGTGTGTTTCGGATCATTGTCTTGCTGCATAACACAAGTGCTCTTGAGCTTGAGGTCACAAACTGATGGATTGATATTCTCCTTCAGGATTTTCTGGTAGAGCTCAGAGTTCATGGTTCCAAAAATGATGGCAAGTTGTCCAGGTCCTGAAGCTGCAAAGCAGCCCCAGACCATCGCACTACAACCACCATGTTTGATTGTTGGTATGATGTCCTTTTTATGAGATGCTGTGTGAGTTTTAAGCCAGAAGTAACAAGATGTACACTTTCCAAAAAGGTCAACTTTTGTCTCATCAGTCCACAGAATGTTTGCTCAAAAGTCTTCGAGATAATCAAGTTTTTTTGGCAAAATGTGAGACGAGCCTTTGCATTCTTTTTGGTCAGCAGTGGCTTTTGCCTTGGAATTCTTCCATGGATGCCATTTTTGCCCAGTATCTTTCTTATTGTTGAGTCATGAACATTGACCTTAAGTAAGGCAAGTGAGGCCTGCAGTTCTTTAGATTTTGTTCTGTGTTCTTTTATGACCTCCTAAATGAGTCATCATTGTGCTCCTTGAAGTAATTTTGGTAGTCTGGCCACTCCTGGGAAGGTTCACCACTGTTCCAAGTTTTCTCCATTTGAAGTCTAAAAGCCTTAGAAATGGCTTTGTAATTATTTCCCGACTGATACATGTCAATTATTTTTTTTCTCATCTATTCTTTAGATTGCACAATGATGTGTTGCTTTTTTAGGTCTTTTAGTGTGCTTCACTTTGTCAGACAACTTCTATTTAAGTGATTAACTGATTCAACAGGTCTGGCAGTAATCAAACCTGGGTGTGGCTCAGCTTTCCCAAAAATGTGGTTAATCACAGTTCATTAAGATTTAACAAGGAAGGGGCCAGTTAACTTTTCACATAGATAATAAAATATTATTGTGACGCCTGGTTTTTATAAGTGAAACAGTAATAAAATGCTCGCAATACGCTGGCAATGTGAATTAACAGCTGCCACTAAAAAGTGACAATACACTTAACCATGAACAATCATGAATAGATAGGCGCTGTACAACCATAGAACATATATTCAACAAAACATTGCTCTGTATTTAAATAGCAACTAATACAAAGTGTGCTAGTAAATACTCCCAATTAAATCTATGCAATAGTCTACATTTAACATTAGTGAACGTGAAAAGAATAATCATAATATTTATGGTGACAGTCCCTTCAAGATATGTTGCTGTGGACCAAAACTTTGTGAGCTTTCACCTCGTGCTGGTGAAATAAGTGAATTTCTCACTCACCGGAAGTATTTGACCCCGGTTAAAGTGGTCAAAAAACGCATTATTATGATATACATAGAAAGTCTGCATCGGGCTCTCCTAGGGTATTCCTCCTGGACATCAGCACATCACAGATAATAGCCCCAGATGGATAATCACAAGATTCCAAATAAACCAGCAATGTATGGACTACCGATATCAAGCTCTCCTCACCATTGAATAGATACTCCAAGTGGCTTAAATAAATCAAATAAGTTTTATGTGTTCTAAGTGTCAATCAATGGACTATGAATATCACTTTCCCAAAGAACCATCACTAGCTACGTATTCTAATTATGTACTGCAAATATGTTTTCTTTTCTTTTTCTGTTATGTACAGGTATATTACGTAGCCTACCTGTTCTGCCTATGTGATAAAAATGTTGAGAACTGCATTCCTTAAGATTGGAGGAAATGTAGGTAGGTGGTTGAGGAGGGGGTGGCAAGCTCAGGGGTGGCAGCCCTGGATGTCACTGCTATCCCTAACAGCGGGGAGAGCAGATCATCTGGAGGGGTGGTCTAGGTGTGAAGGCCTAGACAGTTGGTGGTAGAAGATTCTATAATCAGAAGGACTGATAGAATAATTTGTCACTAGGATCGCCGTAATTGAATGGTTTGCTGTCTTCCTGGTGCCAGGGTTCGGCATGTGATTGACCGGGTTGATAAATTACCTGGAAGGACTGGGCATAACCCAGCTGTTTTGGTCCATATTAGGAACAATGACAGAATACATGGAAGGTAGAGACTCCTTAAGAATCAATTTAAAGAACTAGGCTGCAAGTTGAAGGGAAGGACCTCCAAAGTGATATTCTCTGAAATATTACCAATGCCTATAAAACATTAGCTATGCCCATGCCATGCCAACTCAGGAAAGAGAGGGGAGATTAGAGAACTAAATGCATGGCTAAAGACCTGGTGTAAGAGAGAAGGACTTGGGTTTCTAGAGCACTGGGCAGACATTTCATTGAGGTGCAACCTACATGCTAGAGATTGTTTACACCTACATTGAAGGGGGTCTGTTGCGCTGGGGAAAAGATTTATGGGACGGCTGGAGGAGTATTTAAACTAAAATTGAGGGGGGAGGGAGAATTAGATTATAAGAGAGAGAGATCGTATAACCCTGTACAAATCATTAGTAACACCTCATCTGGAATATGCAGTTCCCTGCTGGGCACCAATTCTCAAAAAGAACATTAGGGAACTTGAAAAAGTACAGAGAAAGGCAACCAAACTGATACGAGGCATGGATGAGCTCAGCTATAAGGAAAGATTAGAGGAACTGAATTAATTCTCTCTTGAGAAGAGGAGATTAAGGGGGGATATGATCAACATGAATAAATACATCAGTGGTTCATATAGTGAACTCGGTGTAGAGCTATTCACCCTGAGGTCATCACAGAGGACAAGGGAGCACGCTTTACGTCTGGAGGAAACAAAATTTAATCTCCAAACACGGAAAGGTTTCTTCACAGTGAGAGCTGTGAAAATGTGGAATAGAATCCCTCAAGAGTTGGTTCTGGCCAGCTCAGTGGATTGCTTCAAAAAAGGCCTGGATTCTTTCTTAGATACACAGAATATAACTGGATACTACTAATATTTATAGGTAAAGTTGATCCAGGGAATATCCGATTGCCTCTCAGGGGATCAGGAAGGATTTTTTTTCCCAGCAGGAGCAAATTGGATCATGCTGTGCTGGGTTTTTTTTTGCCTTCCTCTGGATCAACTGTGGGTATAGGATTATAACCTTTTTTTTTTTATGGTTGAATTGGATGGACTATTGTCTTTTTTCAGCCAGACTAACTATGTATAATGGGGTAGACAGAACAGACAGGGGTCAGTCCTTATTGGTGGGTGGAATGGGGAAAGATGGGGGAGGCCTATGGCAAGTGATAAGAAGGTTCCCATGTTACAAACAACCATTGGAATTGGTACCATTTGTACGAAAATAAAACATATGCAAAATACGAGTGTACAAGGTGTCAATGGGTTAAAGTGTTTGTTCACCAATGCCTTAAGTCTGCCAAGCGAAATAGTTGAGTTGGAGGCTTTGGTGCATGAAGATTATAGGATTAGAACTTTTTTTTTTTTTTTTTGGTTGAAATGGATGGATCTTTTTTCAGCCAGACTAACTATGTAACTATGTAACTTGTGCAACGCCTCTCAATGGGGTTAGCAGTGCTGGGGAATTAGTCAGCAATCTTTTCATCAATAAATCACTTTCCATTTTGGCTTTCAGTAGTAAACAAAGCTGTTACATGCCCGCTGATTAGTACTGGCACTAGAGGGAGCTTGGCATAGAACTAATGTGTGGCACACCAAGGTAGAGGCCGTGTATTATTGTTGCAGAATTCACTGATGCCCTGACAACTCTTAAAAAGATCTGTAAGTAGTATATAGGGAAACAATGTGCTCAAAAAATTGAGAGCTTCAGGGTGGAAACCTCTGGTAATTCCTATTGCTCTGTAAGAACTGGAGATCTGCGTATTGAACCGATTAGAGTAGACACTCTCTGTTTATCGCTTCTCTGCTGTTAGTTACTACATTGTAATAAATAACATTTAGTGCTGGAAGAGTCTTTTCATGCACCTTAAAACAACATTGAATTGAAAATGAATCCTTTCCCTCCACCCTATAGTAGAAATACTGCTATAGGGCAGCAGGGGTGCGCAAAATCACGTATATATACATGATTTTGCAGTTCCGGTTAGGGGGTGCACACAAGCCGCACCTGCGCCGCCATTTGCGGCCTCGGCTGTCAGTCACTGGGTCCCGGCCGGTGATTATTCGCTGGCACCCGGTGATCGCCGTGTATCACCGACAGGGGAGAGACCTGTGCATAAACAACACAGATCTCTCCCGTCAGCTCCTGCACACTTCTTTGTATGGCTCTGCATAGAAGAGCCATACAAAGCAGCGTGCTTACAGTGAAGCACACATTCCCCGCCCCCATAGTGAAACAGCACACAGTTAACCCTCTGATTGCCCCACATGTTAACCTCTTCCTGCCCAGTGTCATTAATACAGTGTCAGTGCTTTTTATTAGCACTGATCACTGTATTGGTGTCACTGGGGATGTCAGTGACACCAATTCAGTTCCCCCCCAGTGTCAGAATGCCTGCCGCAGTCTCGCTATAAGTCACTGATCACTGCCATTACTAGTAAAAATTAAAAAAAAATTCCAGTATTTATACCGCCCTTTGTAAACGCTATAGCTTTCACGTAAACTAATTAATTTACACGTATTGGGATTTTTTTAGCCAAGAATACATTTTGGCCTAAATTTATATGATGAAATTCGATTTGAAAATTTTTTTACTGGACATGTTTCATAGCAAAAAGCAAAAAGATTTTTTTTTCTCAAAATTGCCGGCTTTTTTTATTTATAGTGCAAAAAAAATAAAAAACCGCACAGGCGATCAAATACCACAAAAGAAAGCTATATTTGTGGGAAAAAAAGAACATCAATTTAATTTGGGTAGAGCGTTACATGTCCGGGCAATTGTCAGTTAAAGTAATGCAGCACCGTGACACAAGAAATGGCCTAGTCAGGAAGGGGGTAAATCCTCTGGAGGGCAAGTAATTTTAAATATTATGCTTGGGGGATGTACATGGTATTAACGGAAATGATGATTCTCTGAAACAGTATAAAACAAATTGCACGTGTACTAAGTTTGTTTATACCCCCCCCTTGCTCTTCCCGCCAGGCCGAATGCAGGTAGGATGCAGCAGCTTTACAAACGGGGACACTGTACATGACATGTGTGATCACCGCCTTCCTGTTTCTCTGTTTCTCTACCCCCCCTTTCCTCCTGGCAGTGCAAGGGACCAAGTGGGGGAGACCAGAGGAACATCATGGGACATGCAGTCCCAGAAGCCTGGCGGCCTTATTTTTACTGGCAGGGAGCAAACTAAAGCCCCCAGCATGCTCTGCATAGGGAGGAGACAGAGGGAGCCTGGGGAAAAGCTCTCTCAGGGCAGTGTTACCAGGGGCAGAGGAGGCAGAGGGCTGTGCTGAGGGGACACAATCAAGGGGAGAGAGAACCACACTGCCCAACAGAGACTGAGCCACCTCCTGGGGGCAGATGTGCTGCACTACAGAACGGAGTCACCCAGGCAAGCCAGAGTGAGTGGACACCAGCCGGAGGGATGATTGCTGTAGTACCACTAGGTCTGGTGGAAGGGCCATTATCTACTACCGTCCCTAGAGACTGAGCCATTTAATCAACTACTTCATAGCTAATACTGCCTTCAGGCCTCACTGACTGCCCTAACCACTTGACAACCGGGCTATAGCTGAATTACGGCTACAGCACGGTTGTCCAGTTCTAGGACGGCACTGTCCTACGGACACAGGTGATCACATGACAAGGTAAAAGACCAATCACAGCAGCCTGTCATCACGTGAACAGTTGTATCTAATGACACAGCTGATCACAAAGTATCGGCAGCACTTTCCTCACTGTCACAGCATGAGGCAATTACTGCCTGTCACAGCTGCCCCCCCCCTCAGGCGCTTGCTCTGTCCCTGCTTTCTCTGCCGTCTCTCATCCATGCTCCTCTTCCCTCCTGCAAAGATTAAAGGCATTCCTAAGACAAGCTGGAGCCATGCTACCTCCGGGCCCCCCCCCCCAGTTGCCTAGGTGACTAGGGGGTCCGACCAGTTTTAAGAAGCTGATGCCAGAGCTCCCAAGGTATTCACCGCTGTGTAGCTGACGGAAGGGGCCCAGGCTGCGGCCGGGACCTTTTCGTGGCCAGGCTCGGCAGAGACCAAAGGCTGCCTAGGACCCCCCTTCTCCCAGAGCTGGGGAAGACTGTCTGCTAGACACCAGAGATCCGTGAGTACATGCTCTTTGCCTGCTTCACTTGAACAGTTCTTGTGCTGACCTCACACCAACCCCCCCTGTTGGATTACTTGCTACAGAGACTCACACCAAACTCCCTGTTGGATTACTTGCTACAGAGACTCTCCCTTGGCTCTCGGTGTTGGACTTTAAGTGCGTTGGTCCTTCCGTGTCACCCTGGACTGGCGTATTCACCCTCCCTGCGAACTCCCCTATTTGGTGACTGTCATCTGTTTGCCTCAATAAAGCTTTGTGCGTTTGCCATCTACTCTGTGTGTTCTGTCCTGCCTATGCTCCGTCACACTGGTTGGCAGTGGTGGGATCAGGACACTGAGGAGATGGCAGACAGCGAAAGCCAGCAGATGGGGGAACAGGCCCGGCCCTGGAAGTGGACTGTGGCATATCTGCAGGAGAGGGCCGAGCAGCTGTCCTTTACCTGGAGGGGCCTAGCCAAAGAGGATCTGGTCACAGCCATTGAGGAAGCTGATCCCCAGGATGCCCCAGCAAGGGAGGAGAGCAGGCCAACCCCAGCCTCCCCAACATGCCATGACCCAGGGCCCAAGAGCCCCTGGCTTACTCGGGTGGAGGAAGAGATGGCCCTCCTGGGGTCAGACGCCACAGCAGAGGACAAACGAGAGGCTATCCAGAGGGCGCATGAAAGAGAGAGCCAAGGGAGCCACCGTGAGCTAAGCTGTCCTTCCAGCCCCAGGGCCGCGAGTTACCCCCCTCCCTGGGTCAGCCGCAAGGACTTTAAACCCTTCAACAAAGCCACCAGGGATGTGGAGGGGTTCTTTCAGGACTTTGAGCAGCAGTGCCAGCTCATGGAGGTGCCAAGCACGGATTGGATACGGCACCTTGTGGGTCTGCTAGAAGGGGGTGCAGCTGTGGCCTACCACACTCTGGATTATGTGGATGGCTGGGATTACGCCCGGGTCAAACAGACTGTGTTGGAGTATTACGCGGTGACCCCAGACCTGCCCTGCCATGCGGAGCCGTCCTATCGGATGTATGCGCACAAGATGTCGCAGTCCTGTCGGAGGTGGCTAGAGGGGGAACAGGCCCGCACCGAAGAAGAAATCATCCAAGCATTTCTGAGGAGCAATTCTACAACCAATGCCCGGTGGAGGTGCGCGGATGGGTAAGAGAGAAACCACACTGGAAACGGCGGGCCCCTGAGCTGCCAAGGGCCCCACCCCCCACCACCTCTGCCAAAACGGGCCCCCCACCTACCACTGCCAACTCTGCAGGACCGCCACCCAGAGCCCAGCTCACGGGGCCCCCCATGGACTGCTACGGGTGCAACCAGCCGGGGCACCTCCAAGCCAACTGCCCCACCTCCCAAAGCCGCCGCTTCCCCCGCCCGGACCACTACCTGGAGCTCCAACCTGCAGAAGAACCACTGCCCCCACCTCCCAGCGAATGGATGAGCTTCCCAGAAGACAACCACTTCCGAGGGGTTTACAGTGTCCACCCCCCCGGGGACTACATACCCCGCCCAGAAACAGCGCCACCTGCAGGTCGTGCGGGTGGCCAGGCAACCCGCCACCAGTTTTCGGGATACGGGGGCCTTCTTGACCATCCTGCCAGAAGCCATCCAACCCGGCCCTGGATTCACCATCGAGCTGGTGGGAGGAGCCAGACATCATATCCCCAGAGCATCCGTACACCTCGACTCTGGGTTCGGGAAAGCAACAATGCCAGATCGGCGTCATGGGCGGCCTCCCAGCGGATGCTCTGCTTAGCAATGACCTAGGGGAGCTACGATGCCAGTACGTCAAGGCAGTGACCCAGAGCCAAGCAGGTCGAGGTCCTCCTACAGACGAAGCCACCACGGGACCTTTCCCAGCATGGACTCAGTGAGTGAACCCCCACCTGACCCCGACCTTCCCCTAACCTGGGACCGGGAGACCTTCAAGCGGGAGGTAGCCACAGACCCCACCTTGGCTAAGTTTAGGACCCAGGCCACCGCAGGGCAGCAGGAGGGGGGTGGAGACCAGCTTTGGTGGGAGCAGGGGCTGTTGTACCACGAGGCAGGCCCAAGCCACCCGGGTCAACCATCTGCTAGCTCCAAACAACTGATAGTGCCTAGATGGTTCAGGTTCCCACTACTCCAGATAGCCGATGACATTCCAATAGCCGGCCACCTGGGTAAGAGGAAAACGGGGCTGCAGCTGACCCAAGCCTTCTACTGGCCGGGTGTCACCCAGGACATAGCCCACTTCTGTCAGACCTGTGACATCTGTCAGAGGAAGGGACACCCAGGGGATCACCCCAAGGCCGCGCTCCGCCCCTTACCCATCATTGACGAGCCCTTTCAGCGGGTAGCTGTAGATATCCTGGGACCCCTGGCCCGACCCAGTAAGTCCAGAAAGCGGTACATTCTCACGGTGGTGGATTACGCTACCCGCTACCCCGAGGCTGTTCCCCTGTCCAGCATCTCCGCCCCTAAAGTGGCCGAGGCCCTAGTCACCATTTTCTCCAGTTTCCCCAGCGAGATCTTGACCGACCAGGGTACCCAGTTCATGTCCGAGGTGGTCCAATCCCTCTGGCGCACATGCGGGTTATAGGCGATCCTGACCATTTCCTATCACCCCCAAACCAATAGCCTTGTAAAGGATTTCCGGCAAGAAGAATCACGATCAGGAACACGCAAGTGCATAGGAATTCCTGCAGAAAAATTGCCGGTTGCATGCATGCACGCTGGAATGCGCTATTGCGCACACGCATGCGCACATGCACGGCGAAGATTGGCACCAGACGGCCCATTTAAGGAGTGCCTCTGCTCAGGTTCAGTGCTGACTGGTCTTCAGCTGCTCCCGTGTCCTGCTTGCTCCTGTACATTTCCTTTGTTGCTGACCCGGCTTGTTCCTGACACGACTCCGATTACTCTCCTGCTCCTGGTTCCTGACTTCGGCTCTGCTCATGACTTTAGCTTTTCCTTCTGATTCTGTACCGCGCTGCCCGACTGTTTATGACCCCGGCTATCCTTGACAGTGGGGTCAGGGCTAGTGACACAAGTGAGGCCGACCTCGTCAATTCAGCCTCTCATCAGGTACATGACAGTACCAGTCAGCCAATGATGGAGTCTGAAAGGGAGGCCTCGCAACTGGGGGACATTCGCCAAGCAGTAACTACCTTGTTTAACGTGATACACAACCTGCAGAAAAACTTCGAACACCTGGAGAGTAAACTGCTAACCGACTCTAATGTCCTCACAGACACAGATCGGCAACCATTGATTCAGCCACTCAAACAGAGACCAGTATGATCCTTGAAACCTCTGCCCTACCGGA